TGGCGGCGAAGCCGGGGGGCCCGAGGCTGCCCCGGGGGCCCTGCTGTACCTCCAGATAGTAGAAGATGAAGAAGAGTGTCTCGGTCGACAGGCGCTGGTAGAACTCCACAGTGTCCGAGTGTGGGGGTGGCATCTGGTGGTGGTAGGGGGGCGTCGGACAGGGGTTCCGGGGGAGGTACTGCCTGTGGGAGCAACAGGAAGGTCAGTGCCAGCTGCCTGCTAGTCCTGCCCTGATCAAAAGGGTGCTCAGAACTGCATCCCCACAGGGGAGGTGGTACAGAAAGACCCAGGGCGGTGCTGACCTTCAGTGGAGAGCCCAAGTCAGGGGCCTGGCGCTCTACCCACAGCCTCACAGGTTTAGCCACTGCCTCCTTGCTAAGACTCAAGCCCCAGCCCACCCCCCTTCCCTGGGGCCCTCACCGGATACGCTCAGAGTCAGAGGGGTGGGGCATGTGGTGCCAGGCGGCCTCTTCCATGGCCTGCTGGTAGAGCTGCTCCTTGGTGAGGGGCACAGGGCCCAGCGGACAGACGCCCAGCGACAGCGGTATGTTCACCTCTGACAGCTGCAGGGGTGGCTGAGCTGAGGCCGGAGGTGCTGATGTGCTGCTCAGGATGATGTCTGTGGGGAGAGGTGGGGTCCGGCCCCTCAGTGGTGAGGATGGGTCAGGGGCCAGCCCTTCCTCTTTGGCCCACTGCTTCCCCACCATCCTGGGTTCCTCACCTCGCTCAGTCAGGTGCAGCGTTGGCACAGGGTCCTCAATGCCAGAGCTGATGGCTGCCCGTTCCGCCATGGACTTCAAGGAGCTCAGAGGCTCAGGGGCCTGGGGAGGAAACGAGAGGCCTGCCCTGAGCACTTGGGCTGCAGCAGCAAGTGCAGCCTGACACAGGTCCCAGATGCGCTCACCTGCCCTGCTTGGGGGCTGTGGAGGGCCAATGAGCCACTCCTCATGATCTACCCATGACAGGTAAAGGCATCAAACTGTAGGGAAACAACTGGAAACGACTGACGCATTCATCAGCAGAGGAACGTCTAGTAAGTGGGACTCTGCACCGTGGAATACTGCACAGAGATTTTCAAAACACAAGTTCGTGACATACTACAGAAGTAAACGCCAACCTGCAGAATATGTACAGTGCGCTACCATTTTTGTCAAAGGATGTGCCAATAGTACACGCTGCTTCACTAGGGACACCTACATGCTGGGAGAGCTCCCGCCTGTCTTGAAGGAGGCAGGAGTCTACATGCTCAGCTGTCTGCCTCTGACTGGCATGGGGTGACTGGGATCAGGGTGAGCCCAGCCCTGCTAGGCTTCAGTCTCCTTGCTGGCGACAGGTAGGCTGGGTCTCCAGACCTGTAGCCACAGCCTCGTTTCCTATTACAAAGGTTACAGCAGGCTTGTGTTCCCCAAAGTCAGGGCTGGTTCCTCCATCTCCTCTGGCCACGTGCACCTGTCCCTAACCCCAGCCCTGTGCGGGACTCCACAATGCGTCAGTCGCCAAGGCTTATCCATCCTGTTTTGCTGTATCGCCCAGGCAGGTCTCAAACTCCTGGGCTCAAGTTATCCTCCTGCCTCTGCCTCCCTAAGAGCTGGGATCGCAGGTGTGAGCCACCGCGCCTGGCTATCCGTCCTGCTTCTAAGCCACCTTGGATGGCTCCTTGCCCTGTCACGCCACCACGCCCCACGCAGCCCAAGCCTGTCCTCTCCTACCCAGACCACCCTCTCTCTATCCTGTCCTCATCAGCCCCAGGGGACCTTTCCAATGAAGTCATGTTGTTCCTTCTCTACTCCAAACCTTGCCACGGTTCCCGACCACCCACCCCAGCAATTCCTTTTTGTTGGTGGTGATGTTAAAAGGTATGGACCCCTTTTGAAAATCTCAAAGCTGCTGTTTCCCCTTTTTCCAGAAAAATGCATGCACTATAAATATCTTGTCCACCATACTTCTAAAATTTGGGCCAGGCACGGTGGCTCACACCTGTAATCCTAGCACTTTGGGAGGCCGAGGCGGGCAGATCACCTGAGGTTAGGAGTTCGAGACCCGCCTGACCAACATGGTGAAACCCCATCTCTACTAAAAATACAAAAATTAGCTGGGCGTGGTGGCAGGCATCTGTAGTCCCAGCTACTCAGTAGGCTGAGGCAGGAGAATCACTTGAACCTGGGAGGTGGAGCTTGCAGTGAGCCAGATGGCACCACTGCACTCCAGCTTCGGTGACAGAGCAAGACTCCAT